TTAGCTTTTCTCTTCTTGGTTTTAAACACCAATTGTAATGCAATATTTAAACAAAAACCTAAAGTAAAATCCACCAATTGAACTGAGTACATGAAAACATCCCAGACAAACCTCCCCCTTAAGAAGGGAAAACTATTTTAATAACATGCTTGGAGTTTTCTCCTCGTGGCTGAGTTGCTTACAGATACAGTATGGGACAATCTGCATTTTAATTATAGTGTGCTGGGCAGGGAAGGGCAGAATACTCTTATAGGCTATGTGCCATACACAAAATCTCTCTGTAAAGAGGAAAAAACACTGATAGGAGGGACTGCCTACTAGGAGAGCTGAATGTGCAGAGGTGTGAGATTGTTCTAGTACATTTTGTACCTTTGGGTTTACTGCCATATAAACAGATTATCAAACATACACAAGCACACATGTACATGAGCAAGAGCCACGCACACACACACACAAATTAAAGGCAAATTACTGCTTGCCTTTTTTTGTAAGAGCATTCCAGGTCTGTATGTTTAACTCTGAAACCTATTTTTCTTGGTTACTACAACCACTTTTCCACGTTATTGAAACTTTTTCACAAATGTTAAGTTGTATAGACATACTCTTATCAAAAATCTGAAGGAAAGTAAGTGTTCCCAACATAACTTCCACATCTCAGCTTCTCACTTTTCTTTGGGATTTATCGTGACTGTGAATCAGAATTTCAACATGCAGAACATCCCATTTGCTGAAGAATTAGCCAACAGTAATAAGCCTATACTAGGTTTAGGGTGGAATACTCGGCATTTTTCCAAAGTCTGCCTTACTGGATCCCTGAGAAGCCTGAGGCAGGTACTATCACCCTCTTTCTACTTGCAACAGATGTCCAAAAGCCTCAGATAGCTTCTCCATCACAGGGTTGGAATCTGGGTCCAGGATCCTGACCCTTGTGCCTTACCGAATGCTGCCGGTAGTTCTGTGGAGTAGTTGAGGACAGCTTGCCTGACCTGCAGGTCATACCTCCAAAAGGTTGCATGTTGATTAGTGACAGAGATATGTTCTGTGACATGCACTCTTCAGCAACTTTGTCACTGTGAACACTGAGTGTGCTTACCAAACCTCGATGGCATAGCCTACTGCACACCTGGGCTGTGTGGTACAGCCCCCTGCTCCAAGGCTGCAAAACTGTGTGCACGCTACTGCAGTGGCACTGTTGGCCACCGTGACACAGTATATATCTAAACACAGAGACGGCATAGAAAGATGCTAATCAGAAATTGTCAGCCCCATTATTATCTTGCCCCTACTTTGTATTTATGATCCATCATTGACATGATGCATCCACACAAGAACCGCCCACTGTGGCCCAGGACATCCCTGGACCTAGGACAGCAAAGGTGAGAATGATGTGGTCCCTGCACTCAAGCAGAGAAGACAGGCAGGTGCCTTCCAGCAGGAGGGGCAACATGCAATAGCAGCCCCAGGAACCCTGAGCAGGATCTACAACAAAGGAGGCAAAGCAGGCAGAAGCCTACTGGGCAGAGTTCTGTTAATATCTGTCTATGGTGTTGGGAACACTCCTGCCTGGCACCATCAATAACCACGGGGCTCACCAGACTGCCATTTTTGATAGTTAACCAACAATAATCTCATTCTGCCAAAACTTCACCCTTCAGAAGCAAGAAGAAAGGAAGAAAATGGCTATTACACACTGAGTTAGGACCAAGTGATCACTGGTGCCAACGTGCAAGTTCAAGGAGCCAGGGGGGACTCTCCTGCTATTTGCCTTGGCACTCACAAGTCTGCTCCCCAGGCTCCCATCTAAAGGGCACACAGTTAGGGGTTAGGGAAGATCTGCAGATGAGGACATAAGCCCAGGCAGGTAAGGAATGTGCACACAGGTGGTGCAGCAAATATAACCAGAACAGTCCGAGTAACCAACAGCAGGTCACTGTGATACAAATGGCCCTGTGAGTACCAGGCAGTGTGTGTGACAGCCAGGCGTGCCTGGAGCCATGTGAGATGGAGCCAGGACACCCAGTAGAACAGAGTCCAGCCACAGTGAGCTCTGAAAGATACACTGCAGAAATGCACATGAGCAGGTCAGGAGTGGGGGCCACTCTGGGTGGCCACTGGAGACCAAAGATGGTGCATCTGGTGGCAGCACATAGATGGATTCAAAAGGAGAATAAGACAGGCAGTGTACAGTGGGCTGCTGCCTCCAGGGTGGATGCTGGAATGGGAAGAAAGAGGCACAGGTGGGAGAGTATTCAAGGAAGACCCTTGGAGAGGGGCTCGCTGCCAACACGATAGCCACCTTACCCTGAGCATATCCAGAACCGAGGCCAGATGGTCTTAAGGGCAGTGTCAAAAGGAGGATTCCTAAGATCTGTAAGCAAATGAAAAACAAAACAAACAAAAAAAAAACAAAAAAACAAAAAACAGACTAGACATTATCCAAATTAAAAAACTGGGGGTTTCAAAGGATGTCACCAAGAAAGTGAATGGACACACCTAGAATGAAGAGGAAAGTTTATAAGTTCTATATCTGACAAAGGGACTAGTCTCTAGAATACATAGAGAACCCTTAAACTTAACAATAAAGACAACCCAGCTAAAATGGGGAAAGGCTCAAGACAGTTCCCCCAAACAGATATATAAATGGCCAATGAGCACATGAAAAAGCTACTCAGTATTAGCATCAAGGAAATGCACATCAAAGCCAAAGCCATACCACTTCACCATCACAGGAGGGCTAAGTCAGAACACAGATCACAGTGCTGACAAGGGTGCTGTGCACCCGGAATCTGCACACACTGCTGGTGGGAGTCAAAGGGGTACGGCTGCATCGGAAAGCAGCTTGGTGGTTCCTCAAAAGGTTAAGAAGAGTCACCATAAGACACAGCATGACTATGCCTGGGTAGACCCAAAGAGAAAGAGAGACAGGTCCACACAAAAATCTGTACACAGATGTTCCCAGCAGCACTACTCAAAACCAACAAAACATGGAAACAGGCCAAATACCCATCAACTGGTGAACAATAAAACACAGTACATCATTTCATACAATGGAATATTACAATAAGAATACACACTACAACATGGAAAAACTCTGGCTTACAAGAACACTGAAAGAAATAATGTCAAAAGAAAAAGCACATCATTTTTATTTCTTTGAAAAGGAGGCCTAGGCTATCCAAATTATCCTATATCTTAAAACAAACAAGCAAACAAAAAAACTCATAAAAGCTTGGGTGAAAATAGTTTTAAACATTTATTCTAACCAACAAATCAGGATGATCATACAGAATATGTACTTGACAGGTTAAACCCCAGCAGAGCACACACACTCACAACTGCTTGGTTCCCAAAGTGCCTAGAGCTTTTTTTTTCGGGGGGGGGGGGTGGTGGGGACTGAGAATCTGACACATGTGAGCTCATTTGCCAACTGCCAAGCTGGCCCCAGTGGCATGTCACACTTGGTCCCTCCCCACTAGTTACATAACCAATGTGCACAACACACTTATAACCAGGACTCCTAATTACTGTTTAGAACATCAGCTATTATAAATTGGGGAATCCAGGCTGGAATGTGCCCCTAACTATAACACGGTACCCACGGGACAGTATCTCCTTTCATGTTGCCAGTTCCCAGGACACACACAGTGAGCTGGAAATTAGAAAGCATTTGCAGGCATGAGAAAGGAAAGGTGGAGGTTTACAGTGGAGAGGAGAAACAGGATGGAACTCAACAGGGAGCAAGCCGGCTGAGGTCAGTGACACGCAGCAGTGAGGATGAGAGATACTGCCTTCCTTCCCATTGCACAGCACCTGTCTTCCGAACGGCCTCCCTCAGATCACACCCTTCCTTTCTTCCTAACTGGAGGGGGCACCTCTTCCCTTCCCTTCTCATACTTTCACCAGAGGAACTCACTCCACAGAATTATAGAAGGACATGGTCTTCTAGTCCCACGGTCTATTGTACAGATGAGGAAAGTGAGTCCCAGTGAGGGAACAGGTGCACAGCATGATTTTAAGTTTGTTAAGTGCTCTGGAGCTCTTGGTTCAGGAGATTAGCTCTTGATGTACAACCAGATAAACTGGAGTTGATGGATACAGATGGGCAGCTTTGCCTCCTACCTTACAGGACCCCCAGGAAGATCTGTGCAAGTTTTAAATTAGTAACATAAAGCGGTAGCTAAGCTGAGCCCTGCACTAACTGTTTGCTTCTTTGCTGAATTCCTGATGTTCTGGCACTGGAGTGACTGCAGCTTTTAAGCTAACCAATCCCTAGACAGCCAATAGGCCTGAAGGCTGCCTGTCTCGTGAGTCCAGCCAACCTAGACCATGGAATCACACCAATTCCTGTAGCAGGCTCTCTGCCAAGTCAACATCTCCTGTTCTAATCATCCTAAGGCAGGTGCAAGAAACGAGGAGCAGTCCTCACATGCCAGAACCCACTGCAACTACTCAAGACTGGTGAGCGTCCACCTGGTCTATGCTGCCCCACCCATTCCTTCCCAGGAAAACCACAAGAAAGGCTTTGCCAGCACCTTCCCCTCTTTCCCTTTGTATCTTGACTGACCCTAGTGCTTTCCTGTGTGGCTCCACGTGGCATGGCTGGGAAATGAGTGACAGACTCTTTCCAACAGCAGTCATCTCCTGATTAGTTGGTTTAACCATACCTGGAAAATAATAAAACCTACATTTTAAAACAGGCCTGTTCTAGAAGTATACATTTTCTCCAGAAATTCTCAAATGAGGACTTAAAAATTCACACCCTGGGTAGAGCCTGGACCCAGTGAGATACTTCCTGGATGGCTTTTAACTGAACAGAGAAGGGACCAAAAATAAAGAAGAGGCATAGGGCCTCGAGTCACAGAAAAAGGCAAGACAGAATGGCAGAGGATGCTGGCACCTCACAAGGTAGTGGGCAGAGGTGCCAAGGCCGGGGATGGGCTTCAGGAAGAGGTAGGAATAAAGCAGGCCCACGGCACAGCATCCAGCAGGCCTGGGCCAGTTCAGACATCCAGCTCTTCCTTTATAGTGATGCGCAAGGGGCAGATGCTCAAGGGCTCAGGAGGCCCATCACCCCGCAAACCCCCAAGGTAAAAGTAGGGCCGCACCTCCCCAAAGCGTGCATGGAAGGTGTATAGGTGGTAGTTATGTTCAGCATCATAGAAGGACAGCTCACCCTCTTCACACTCCAGCTCCACGCGTAGGCAGCAAGGGATGGTCAGGACCAGGGGCGAGGTGGCCGGGTCCGAGGTCACACAGTGGTCCCCCTCCACACCCTGTGTGTGGCACACGTACCAGAAGCCAGAGCGTGTGTCATGGTAGCAGCTGTGTGAGTGGCCTTCTGCACCTGTATCTGGCTGTACCCACACCACACCCACCCGCCAGCTCTGCAGGTCACCCAGGGCCACCTCCCAAGTATGGGAGCCTTGAGAGAAGGTGCAGGATCCCAGCAGGCAGGGTGATGAGGAGAAGCGCTCTGGGTTTTCCACCTGCAGACGGTAGCCATGGTTGGTGACACTGGTGAGGTTATCAGACACCGAGAGCCAGCCTGCTGCAGTGTTGGGATCGAAGCTGAAGGGCACTGAGGGCAGAAGGGGGACAGTCAGCAAACCTGACACTCTCCCACCTGCCACACCAGGTGGTGTCCCCAGGGCCCCAAAATGACCACCTCAGTTCTAGTTGCCCTGGGTTGATGGAAATCATGGGTTCAAATGTAATGGCCAAAATATATGTGAAAATCCTAGCCCCCACCCAGTGGCCCAGAATGTGCCTTTATTTGGAAATGGGCATTACTATAAATACAGTTATAGTAATAAATACTTAACTGTATTTATTACTATAAATACAGTTAAGATGAAGTCAGACTGGAGCAGGGTGGAACTTGAACCCACCTTGACTGTGCCCTTATAAAAAGGGGAAAGGAGACAACACATGAGGGGAAAAGCCATGTGGCAGAGGGCAGAGGGTGAGGTGCTGCAGCTGCAGGCCAAGGGCAGCCAGGCCTGCCAGCCAACACCAGAAGCTAGAAGAGACACAGAGGGCCCCTGCCACAGGTTTCAGAGGACCACAGCCCTGCTGTCACCTGAGCATGAGCTTCTAGCCTTCACAACCATGGGAGAATGGGTTTCTGTCATTTAAAGCACCCCGTGTGTGGTCCTTTGGTGACCTTGGATGGAGAAAGCCTTTCATTATACACATTACAATTCTGAATAGAGGAAGTATTTCTCTTTCTGAAGAGGACAGAGGGTCAGGGCCTATATAGGAAGGTGGTCTGCCAGGAGGGGCTGCAGCCATCAGGCAGGAGGGAGGTGACCAGGGTCAAGGGCCTGCTGGGAGGTCAGTGGAGAGAATAGGTAGAGCCTGACAGAGTGGAGCTTGGCAGCTCTGTGCTAGCATGAAGTACCTTCCCTGGGCGCAAACACCTCCCAGAACCCCTTACCAGATTTGATGGAATTGATCATCTTCTTCCACACACGGTACTGCAGGGAATCCAGGTACCGGCAGGGGTTGATGAGCATGCCGGGCTGGATAGGCTCCGGCTCCATGGTGCAGAAAAGCCTGTGGAAGGAGGACTGGGTATGGTGGGTGCAGTTGGGGCAAAGCACCTGGGCTTATCTGGGTTCACTGGAAATGGGCAACAGGCCTTGCTCCCTTGCCTCAGGCCTAGGTTTCCTGGCCACCTTCCCCAAGACAAACCTGATTGGTCCAGGAACTGACTGAGCTGCCACACCTTTCAGGATTCAGTAGGACGGCTCATCCGGCCCCAGCTGGGAAAAATAGAAATAGGAGGTTCTGCAACACGGCTGCCATCCTTGTGGACAGAAATCACACTTACACATATGCTTGTGGCATGTGTAACAAATTGGAAGGGACCTTAACAGTGCTCTACTACAACAAAACCAAGAGGTCACAGTCCTTTGCTTGAGCACCTCTGGTGACAGGGAACTCACTACTTCCCCTAATTCACAAAGCCCACTCTTTTATCTTTGGATGGCTCAGACAGGGACATAATTCTTAATTATTCATCCCAGAGAACCCAATGCCATCAAGGCACACGAGTGTGCAGGACAAGGGCCTGTCCTGAAGCTCTCAGAGGGAGGAGGCTGGTCAAGAAAGATGTCTAAATGTTAGATGGCCACTAAGAAGCATGAGCAGATGCATGCTGCTCTCCCTCCCCTCACAGTGCCTGGAGACGCTCCAGGCCAGTCAGAATTGGAGAGCCTCAAAGAAAGGTCTCTCCATTTGGCAGTCCACACCACTCCCTGTGGATCCCACCAGCTGGCTGTGTTACCTGCCTGGCCCTGGAGCCACTGGATTTTGCACCTTTGGTGTTTCTGCCTGCTCTTCCCCTCCCCTCCACCAGACTTGTCAACTTACTGGCACTTTCGGTGCTTGTGTTTCTGAAAGAAAAGACACAGACACAGACACAGAGAAAGCATGGTAAGTTTCTGACCTCAAGAGGAGCCATGCACCCCATGTTCATGGATCAGAAGACTTAATATTGTTAAGATGTCCATTCTCCCCAAGCTGATCTAGGTATTCAGCAGAATTCCTTTCAAAATCCCAGGTACTTTCTTTGTAGAAACTGATTATAAATTTCATATGGAAATTCAAGGAACCCCAAAGAGCCAAATAATCTTTAAAAAGAAGAGTAAAGTTGGAGGACTCACACTCCCCAATTTCACAGCTTATTATAGAGCAACTAGTCAAGAGAGTGCAGGACTAACATGTGGGCAGCCGGGGAGATCAATGGAAGGAACAGAACTGAAAGTCCAGAAGTAAACCCTCACATCCACTGTCAGCCAATTATCTATGAGGACAGCAAAATCATTTAAGAGAGGAATGGTCTTTCCAACAAATTGTAAAAATTATTAAAGTACACACTAAATTGTTAAAGGTGGAACCTAACTTGATGCCATATTAAAAAAATGAAATAAAATACATCAAAGGCCTAAATATAGAGCTAAAAACTGAGAAAGAACTTGTGCCTAGAACACAAAGAATTTTTACAACTGACAAAGAAACAACCTAATTAAAAAATGGATAAAAATGTAGAATTGATACTTCTCCAAAAGAAGATCTACAAATGACCAATAACACATGAAAAGATGCTAAATATTGTTAGCCATCATGAATGCAAATGAAAATAATGAGATACCACTTCAAACTCAATGGGATGGCTACTTAAATATATATAGAGAGAGAGTTGGAAAGGATGTAGAGAAAGTAGAATCATTATTCACCGCTGATGGCAATATAAAACAGTGCATTTGCCTTGCAAAAGAATCTGGCAGCTCTTCAAAGAGTCAGAGTTACCAAAGAAGCTAGCAACATCCAAGAGAAATGAAAACATGTACATATAACTGGTACATTAGTTGGGTGTGGTGGTGTGTGCCTGTCATCCCAGTGACTTGGGAGGCTGAGACAGGATCACAAGTTCAAGGCCAGCCTCAGCAACTTAGAACTCAAGCAAGTCAGCCAGACTCTGTCTCAAGATTGAAAAAAAAACTAGCACTAGGGATGTAGCTCAGTGGTAAAAGCACCCTGGGTTCCACCCCCAGTACAAAACAAACCAAAACACTGGTATATGAATGTTTATAGCCCTATTACCTACAAGAGCAAAAAGTAAAAACAACCCAAATAATCACAAATTGATGAACAGATAAAATGTTATATACAATAGAATAGTATCATTCCACCATAACAAGGAAAGAATTATTAGTTGCTAAGACATGGATGAAGTTGCAAAATATGCTGAGTGAAAGAAACCATTCACAAAAGGTATATATTATATGACTCCATTTATGTGAAATGTGTAAAATAGGCAAATTAGGTAGACAAGAGAAATTGGCGGCTGAAAGGCACCAGTACAGGAGGAATAGGGGAGTGACAGCTGAAGGATTTGGAGCTTATTTTTGGATGGATGAAATGATCTGAAATACAGATTGTCGTGATGGTTGCACAATAGTACAGTGCCAAAATCACTGAACTGTATGTTTTAAATAAGTGACAAGCTGGGTGTAGTGGTGTGGGGCTGTAGTTCCAATTACTCGGGAAGCAAGAAGGTCACTCGAGCCCAGCAATTTGAAGCCAGAAAAAGCAAGAATGAGATCCTATCTTTTAAAAAACTAAATAACAACAACAACAACAACAAAAATGGGTGATTTACACAGTTCAATATATAAATTATATCTCAATAAAGCTGTTATTTAGAAAAACAAAATCAAACCAAAATCATTGGCAGGATGACAATTTCCTTAGCAGAATCATCAAAGAAAGAAACAATTTAAATCCTTTGAGTGATTCTGTAATCAGTGCCCTCTGGAGACAAGGCATATCATGGCTTGACATGAGGTGGTCAACCCACAAAGGCCCTCCCCAGAATGGGACACACTGCTGGAACACAGTATTTGCCCCCCATTCCAGAAGGTGAGCTGTCGGTGGTGAAGAGGATAGTGGGTCATCCTGATCATCCTGATTTACAAACCAGCCTTCATGTTACAGAAACTTCTCTGCGGGGCCCAATGATGCAATCAACCAAAGTGAGAAAAAATAAACTCAATGGCATTTGTTTTTTAAGTGAGAATGGAATCATTCTTAAGAGAGAACAAGCCATATTTAAATATTAAAAAAAATCTGATTTTGAAAGACCACGTTTACTAGGGGTAGAGAGAGAAGAAACCAAGGATGGCACAAAAGCAAAGAGAACAGGGGGAGCGAGAGAGAGAGACAGGGAGGGCAGGGGAGAGAAGAAGCTGGAGACGCCACCCCTGCCACGCCCCTGGCCTCTGACAAGCAGCACACGGATGCCATCCCTCAGGACCAAAGCCAGGAGGTCACAGGAAGACTGGCATGGCGGGGCTGGTGACCATGGTTCTCTGGTCCCTGAACATCCGGCCCCATCACAGAACGTGGCGACCACACTCCTCACCATAAGAAAAGAGACGTCATCTTCCTTCAGTTCCATGTGCAGCCGCTTGATCTCGTGGGCCAGCACCTCTGTCTCTTCTATGAGTTGCTTCATCTTCTCATCGGCCAGGAGCTTCTTCTGCCTGGTCTCCTGTGCCACAGCGTCCAGAACAGCCTGCTCCTCCACCCTCAGGAACTCACGGAGCTTTTCGAACTCCTGCCGGATGCAGCCTTCCAGCCCCGCCGCCTCCACCTGCAGCAGAGAGCTAGAGTCAGTGACTCAGACCTGGGGAGCCTCTGGTGTCCCCAAGCTGGTGACCTTCAGATTTTCAGAAAGAATCCTATGTAGAACCCTAGAGATGAAGCATCGATGCAAGACTTGACTAGCACCAATTTATAAGTTTAAATTTCAAATGGGAGAGCATAGCAGCTGTTTTGATAAATTTTTAGAAATCACTGGTCAAGCACAGTGGTGCACACCTGCAATCCCAGTGATTGGGAACACTAAGGCAGGAGGGTTTCAAGTTCAAGATCAGCCTCAGCAACTCAGCAAGGCCCTAAGCAGCTTAGTGAGACCCTCTTTAAAAAAAAGGAAAAAGAAATCCTTGCTTATTGATGATAACCCTAGTCCTGTAACCTCCTCACACACAACAGTCTGTATCTCATTTGGGTTCTCAATAGCATGGAAAACCCTGTGTGACAGAAGTGAATTATTTCAAATAGCAACAATTTTTAAAACTTGTTTGCCTTCAAATCTTTTGCCCTTAAATATGTCTGATCAAAAGGTTTTCTAAAACAGTAGGAAGTATTTAACAATCATAAAAATGTGCACATTCCAAATCATAGCCACAAAAATATTAAGAAAATGAGACTCAAACCATAAAAATACTCAGAGAAAAAGCAAAGAAATACTTCTTGCCTGAAAATAAGAAAGAAATTGCTTAGCATAATATGAAACAAAAAAGACTCAAACAATGAGATAAATGAATGTATATAAAAGATAAGCTTTAAATGTCAAGACCTTATAAGCAGGGTTAAATACATGCAAGTAATTCCAAAATGACTACTGTATAAATGACCCCCCCCCAAAAAAAAAAAAGAAACCTGAAAATAATTCATTGAAAAAGAAATGACAAACTGGGAAAAATGTTTGCAATATATTCAACAAACTAGTATTATTCTTAATATACAAAAGCGCTCCAAAAATCCAATGGGAGAAAAGACAAATATTCCAAGAACAAAAAAAGGATATGAATTGGCATTCACATCATTCACAGAAGAAATCTATACTGTGAAAAGATGGGCAAATGAGAAGGGACCACGTAGGAAGAGTGGAATCTACTGATTCTTCTCACACAGGACAAGAAAGGATGGAGCAAAGAGGAAAACTCGGCAAGAGCAAAGGCAACTCCAGCCACTGTCACACCAGCAGGGACAGCCTCATGGTAAAGGGGTAAACAACAGAATGTATACTCAGTGACTTGGATTCAGAGAATTTAATGGGAAAAGCACCCATCCAGCTAGAACTCTGGAGGCCTCAACCTGACCACCTTAAGAACCCTGGCCTCCACAAGAAGCCTAAGAGCTCTCTGCTGCCTGGCAGGGAGAGATTAATGCACCCCCCTTCCCCCAGTCCAGCCCCATACCCACAAATGTAGGTATGCTGATCATGGAAATGTACAGGGAAGCATTTCCCTGGTGAACAAACTCCTGGAGGGTAACAGGCACCTTGTTTCCCACCTTTAGAATGCCCTGAAATCTCTCTTAGGATCTAGTAATATAGCTAATATATGTGCAAAGTCTAGCTGGTATGGTAACGCCCTGAGAAGCCTCTGTGTTAGAGGCTCATCAGAGGCTCATCAAACCTCGACCTTGATTGCAGGCACATAGTTCCTAGGAATAAAGGAACTTATTTGCTAGATAACTACAATGTTTCACCAAGCTCTCCTGCTCCTCCTGGAGCTGCCTGCCTAACAGTAACTTCAGACAATGGACTTTCTTGAGAACTGCACAAAGCTCCTACATTGCATACTACAACTAAAATTTACTTGCAGAATAAGCAACCTTACTGATACTCTAAACAATAATGTAGTTATGGTACTAATAACCAAATGTAACCTATTGGTATAAATAAACGTGGCCACTTGGACACATTCCCTGCCTCTGCACCTCGTCTCTGTGTCTCCCTTTATTATTTTTTTACACACAAAGCCAGCCAAACAGCTTTGGCCATGACGACATTGGTTACAGGGCAGAAATGAAGCCTGATGACTCCATGACAGCACCAGAAGAACACCACAAACAGTGTCCTCTAGCAATGGCAGGCTGCAATCTCATTTGTGGACTAGAAACTTGGTCTGTACTCATGGCTCTGACCTAAGATGATCAAATGGTGCCACTCTGTCAACTCAGCTTCTTGGTCTCCAAAACATCACAAACATTGAATGGCCTCTCTCTGTGGGCACTCAGATGCATTACCTTATATCAAAGTTTCACAAAAATCCTAGGAAGAGGGAATTTCTTTCTACAGGTGAGTGCATGAGTTTGGTGGGGGCCGAGGGATCTGCCTGTAAACACAGGGTTTGATTTCCAATGTCAGCCTGCAGCTTACTGCCCTGGACTCTGTATTTCACAGCCTCGACTCCTGCTCTGCTCCTCCAGCTTGGGACAGGCTGGTTTCTGACTGTCTCGCTGACCCTGGCTCTGGTCTGTCACCTTCTGAGAGATGATTGCTTCTAGTAATTACCACTCAGCTACACTCATCTCAGCCACAGCTGACACACCTGGTTTGGGCTGCTGGGCACTCCCCTGAAGTCCCTACAGTGCCTGAGTGGCCAAGGACTGGGCTCAGGGAAGCCTCCTAATATCTCACTATGGAACCAGCACAAGCTCATTACTGGTCCCCTGCAGGTGCCCAGAACTTCCAGACATTGGGAATGTGCTCACTTTCCTTGTATTTTGATGACAGGGGACAAACTAGAAAACAACAAGGTAATGAAGTGTCTCGAAGAAAATGAGGGAGACCTGAAGCCGGGTAAAAGGGAAGGGCTAGTCTGGGTAGCAGCAGGGAAAGCTTCCCAAGGAACGTGTAAGCTGAAATTTTAAAGGCATCTTTGACTATAGGGCCAGGGGAACAGCTTTAGCTCATTTAAGGGACAGAGAAGGCCACAGAAGTGGCAGAAGCACAGAGCACCAAGCCACAGAACAGCAGATGAACTTGGGGCAGGCAAGGGGCAGACGACAGCCTTGGCCATGGGAAGGAGTCTGGACCGCAGTCTGGGGCATGGAATTACACTACGCGATTTTAAGCAGAGGAATGACACAGCGATGTGCTTTTCCAAAAGACCACTGGAGTGCTTGGAAAGTGGAAAGAACAGAACAAAGAACAGAAAACCAAGAACAGAAGTAGGGAGCAGCCAGGAAGGAGGCGCAGCAATGCAGGTGGAGTTCGATGAACATGTATGGTTCAGAGACAGGGAACAGGGCTGTGGTAGAGTGGACACGGGCACTGAAAGGAAACCCGGAATCACAGGAATCACGGGGGCTTGCACTGAGTGAATGGCGAAATGCAGCACACACTGAGGTTATTATTAAATGACAGTGCAATGGCACAGGTGGCTTCTTAAGCCATGCCTGTGCTGCTGGTGTGCCATGCCCAGGTCTTCAGTGAGGCAGTGTAGCCCAGTCAGCAGCTGAGAACAAGGCTGTATGAGACTTCCAAGTCCACAGCTAGCCCACAGGCGGCATCAACAGAGCCAAGGCCAACCCTCCCCTGCTTCTCCCTGGCTGCACACTGGGTCCAAGCACTCACCTGATTGTGCTTGGCGATGGCCTCGTAGGAGTGTCATATGGCCCAGAAGGCCTTGGCTTTCTCCTGCAGCGTGTACTCCATGTTTCTAACTTGGCCTGATGTGGGGAATGAGAAGGAAGCAGGGAGGCAAGTTAGGACTGGAGGCCAGACAGGGAGGACAAACACCACATTTATAACTGGAATTCCACTTTGACAAGAGCATGAAGACAGCATTTACTGAACCTGGTCCATGCCAATCCCCTCGGGCACAGCTGAATGTTAGTCATGATCTCAAATCATTTCTTTATAATGCTAAGGGCCCTCAGATGACCTGTAGCCCAGCTCCCTTGTCCTATGCCTGGTACAGGGAACAGGGCTAAGGAGGGTAGAGGGGCCTGTTGTCTCTCAAGCTGCCATAATACAGCACAGAAAGGCATCCTGCTCAGCCTGGGACTGGTCCAGGCTGAGCTGAGTCCCTGAGCTGTGGGGATAAGACAGGGTAGGGACCACAGGCTCCCTTTGAAATGTTCCAGACTGTACTGGTCTGAAGTCACTAATCTTAGGGGGTCTGACCCCCTCATTTCCCATCAAATGAAGTTATTTCCCATAAGGCCTTCTCAACACATTTCCCTCCAGACCCCTCCTTCTCCTGACATTCTCATATTTCTTAGATCATGTGACAGACTTTAATTGTCAAATTCAAATATTTATCTCTTCAGTAGTTTTTGTTTTTTTTAAATTTTAATTATTGCTTCTGAACTTTCTGGACTCCCTGAAGAACACTGTAAATTTTAGGTTGGATTCCTACCTTTTCATCTACATTGTAAGAAACCTTCTCATATATTTTCTTTTGGAAAAATAGTAAATATTCTAATAGTAATAATCGAATATTACTAATATTAGATTAATTCTAATAAAAATAATAATTATTCTAATAATAGTACTGGTAAATTACCATCACCATTTATGGAGCACCTACATGTAGCAGGGACAGTGCTAATTACTTAATACCAGTTTCCTACCTGATAAGAGGGATATCACTATGGAGCTCATGGGTTGACAAATCAGTGCATGTCAAGGGCTGAGAAGTGGGCAGGCACACAGTACGTGCTGCAAGGTCTAGCTCTTAGTACCAATAAGTGCCACTTGTGAGCCAAGAAATTTAATTCTCCTACCAGATATTCCAGGTTTCTTAATGTACAGCATAAATGCTAAGATAACCTCATCTAGATCTCATCCTTATCCAACTCCAATTTGTTTTCCAGATCTTTCTTCCCCCTTGATATGCAGACTCATCACACAATAGGTGTTTATCATGCTGCCTACTGCTGGGACCTCTTCACTCAGGAGCCACAGTGGGCAATTGAGAATCCCTCTCTGCCGGGGGCACAGGCTTAACAAGGAGGCAATGAACATCCTCTATTGAAACTAGGGATCTGCCAGGCTTGAATTGAAAGCTGAGGACCTAGAAAGTAGTGAGTAGTTAGGAAAGGGTAGAAAGAACTAGAAGGGGAATGTCTTAGTCCATTTTCTGTTTGCAGTAATACAACAGCATAGGATAAGCTATTAGGAAACAGGCTGATTCTGGCTCAGAGTTCTGAGCTGAGACTTAGGGCTATGTCTGGTGATAGTCTTCCAGGATAGCTGAGTATGGGTGAGGGCATCACGCAGTGGGAAATAGGAAGTGCATGTGAATCCTGTTTCTTCCCCTCTCATAAAGCCACCAGGATGGTGGGGGCTCTGACACTCCTATCTAATCCTACTCATAGGCTTCACCTCTAACACCAGTCACATTAAGTTTCTACCCTCTTAATACCTTGCAATGGCGATTAAATGTCAACCTTTGTTTTTGGAGAGGATGAACCATATGCAAACCATGGTGGGGAGACCTCTGAATGTGGCTAAGAGTAACTGGAATCCCTGGGTTGACACTTCTCAGGCTGATTCTGAGAAGGTAGCCCCAGGCAGGGGACCAAGGCTTCGGGACCTACGTCAAAGTCCAGAGGCATGTATAAGAAAGGGGTCCAGACAAGGTAGTTAGAGGGAGTTTGGAGTGTGTCTGGTATTGAAAACACTAAACTTGAGTTCTGACCCAAGAATTTTATCATGTTTACCCCAAAGCTTCAAGAAGTGCATGAATGAATTTTCCCAAGTTTCCATTTTCTCATTAGTAAATGTAACTATCTTCACAGTCCCCTGGAACGGTCTGTGTCTGAGTATTTCGTGGATTTGCAAGTAGTGTAAGAGTATTCTGAGATAGTGTTTTCGTTGAATGATGAAACAAAAAAATCCACCAAGATAAGCCCATCCTGAGTCACCTCATACACAGTGTGACACATGCCCTTGGTTCCTACAACATCAGCACTAGCATGTGTAAATGTGTTAATGATTACCAGGCACTAGTCTGTATGAGTGTCATGGTCTTGGCCTAATGAGGGAAGAGCAATACACTCAGCAGGTAGAGGGTGTATGGGTGCTGTAAGCTGGCCAACCATGTGCATCAACTGAGTTTGAGTTTCTGAGTTCTTCAAACAGGGAAGCTTTGACTCCTGAATCAAGCCAGCACTTGGAACACAGTAAAGAGAATCAATCAAAAGGATCTCTGTCAAGAGTAGAGATTTAGTTTCAGCAAAGTAAAATCTTGTAATTAATATTTTAACTGGAATTGTACAGATCCTAATTTTGCTTGGACTTAATCTGGCAACTTCCTTTGGTTTATTGCATATATGTGATATAGGCAAGAGCAGTATATATGCTTTGTGTTTGTGTGCACCTACGTGGTAACATATTTAAGCCACATTATTGGAACACTTTTTCCTTTAAGAAGAGCAAGCACGTTGTTCAGGTTTGAGAAACACTGCGCTCCAGGACTTCCTAAGGTCCCACAAGCACTTGTGTTCTTTCTAGAGCTCTGTTTAAACATTTCCGTTATATTCCAAAATCTCCTAAGTCTTTTTGGTCATATCTCCTTGTGCTGAGGACACCAGGCAAGCTCTTTAACATGCCCTTGGATGCCCTGTGGGATCTGTCCCAAACTTCTTCATTCCTCATGTAGAATGTCCTTTGGTCACTGCAGGCCCCACCCTATGCCCCCACTACTGCTACTGGTCTTCCTTTACTCCTCTGGGCCTTCAGGTCTTGTAAAATCAGTTGTTCAGAGGCTCCTTACTATGCCTCAACAGATGAAAAAAGTAGGCCTTCCTCTTAGAGTATCCCATCCTTCACTGAAACTTCAATTATTAGTGAGAGTACTCAACTATGCCTGTCAACTTCACCCAGGCAGGGTCTCTAGGACTGGACTGTATTCTGCTGGACACACTGTGCCCAGCACATTGCAGGTGTTCAACCTACCTGCTCTCTGCACACTGACAATGATCAACAGCCACCCAGATGCCTGATTATCCAAACACAGTTGGCTGCCCACAGCTCTGGGATCAGAGCACAAGCAGCACTGAGAGAAGGGTCTCTCAAAGCCAATGACCAGAGCACAGACCAAACTAGGCCCAGGGGAAGTCTAGCTACTAGTTCTGTGACTTTGGCAGTTACTTAAACTAAGACTGTCTTTATACTGTACCTCATTACACTGTAAGATAGGGATAACGCTACTAACTACAGCAAGCTGAAATGCCCCGCAACCCTGCAAAGCCCAAGTTCTAATCAATACAACCGTGAATGTTATGGCAAAAGGGATTCTGCAGATGACGGAATTAAGGATCTTGATACGGGGAGATTCCTCTGGATAATCTGAGTGGGTCCACTGTAATCACGAGGGCCTTATGAGAGAGGTGGTAGTCAGCCAAGGAAGGCAATAAGACAACTGAAGCAGAAGTCAGAGTCATGCTCCTTAAAGATGGAGAAGACAAGGAAACATGTTCTCCCCTGAAACCTCCAAAAGGAATGCAGCTGTGCAGACAGCTTGAATTTGGGCCTTCTGACCTCTAGAACTACAATCAACTAGTGCTGTTTTAAACCATTGTGTTTGTGCCAGTTTACTGTGTCAATGATAGAAAACTAACACACCCAGCCTTGTTGAACGTTTGTGAGCATTATATTTGCTAACATGCATATGCTTAAGAGAATCTAACATATAGTAAGTTCTCTACAAGTATCCACCCACATGATTTTTAGTTTTGCTTCATCCTTAGATGGTGGCCAAAGTGATCTTTTTTCTAAAACATACTATCTCATCACAACCCCCGTCTGAGAATCCCACAGGGCTCCCCACAGCCAGCAGGACTTTTGACCTAGCTCCTTCTCACATGGCAGTGGGATGGGAGGGGGGATCCCACATGCTCCCCCCAGAACCACCACGCATGTCCAACCATGTAGAACCATGTCTTGTCTACTAACTCCTGACTTCCCCCTCTAAAACATACACTTCATAAGATAAGGGGCTATCTCAGGGACCTAGGCACCCAGAACAGGTTTTGGCACACAGGAGGCCCTCATCTCATGTTTGTCTGGTAAATGAATGAGTCCCACCCTGCTTCAGGCAGCCCTGGACTAGACTATTCCCTGCCTCTCAGGCATCACCCTGAGGGCCCACTGGCCTGACACAAGTCTCCATCTGCATCTCCATCCTGTTGTAACCACTGAAATTCTCTAGGTGCCTGGAAAGTCAGGTTTCCTCACTTCCAGACCCTTCCAGACACTACTGTCTCTGCCACATACCCTCCCTCATTCCTTCCCCTGGCTAAT